ATCCCATTCACTAATCTTACTTATAATACGCAGCCTTGATCAGTATCAGCGCCCTTGGATCCTATCCTTTGTTCTTTCAGTCATGGCTGGTGTGCCTGTTTCTGGAATCGTGTCCGTTGATAACGGCGCTGCGTATCTCCGCCTGGTGCCGACCAATCCCACGACGCCACCTTCGGCCACACCAACATCGACCAGTGTTCCCTGGCCTGCCTCCAATCAACGTTGCGACGACAAGATCTTTGAGTTCATTAAAGACGGGAAGGTCACGGTCCACTCCACTCGCCAGCCCATGACGAAACGGTTGATGCAGATTGCCATGAGCAACATACAACGCTCACTCCGCTTGGCTCCTGGTGCTGATGGTGGTTGGAACCTAGAAGCCGACCTCAAGTTGCTTCGCCTTTTGGCTTCCACTAAGAAGGCTTCCATGAAGGGGAACAACCACATCAATCAAGTCTATCAAGGATGCGAAGGGCATGTTAGCCATCAAGGACAAGGAGAAGAATGATGATTATCCCACGGGCCTTTCCTCCATGCCCAGGTTCCACCGACGGGGCACGTCCCCCAGGACATCGACAACAACATGTCGGACGAGGTGATGATTGACGATGACGGGCATGTCTCCGAGTACATTGACCCAGAATCCGGAGTATGAGGCAATGGACATCGATCCCCTTTCCGATCCGGACTCCTCAAGCTCCAGCTCCAGCTCTAAGTCCAGCTATAGCTCCAGCTCTTCTTCCACTCACAAGAGCAGTTTGCGGCGTGGGGTGCTTGAGCTCGAGGGAATGTTGGAGAGTACGACGGAGGACCTATGGGCGGCAACCGAATCCCTCGGCCTGAACATGTAAGTCTTTCTGCGTAGGCCCAAACAGCAAGCATCGCTATGGCACAAGGTGAAAAAGGTCTTCGCCAGTAGACAGCTGCTCTTGTGCTGTGCAAGTTGCTGTTTTTGAAGTGAGGGTAGCGAAAGCCGCGTTAACAAGCATACACCATGCCTAGTGTATACAACCATTTTTAGAAATGTATAAAATATATAGGCTGTAGCTATTTCCACGAAAGGAAAACTTGTCTCTGTCTGCCTCTGCCATGCAGTGTCTCAGGGCCTCTTACTTGTCGTTTCTTCCTACGCCCAAATTTCGGCCTCATCGCCACCGTCTTCTAGGACAACGCTCAACGATGGCCGGCACGATCATGGACGAAGGCATTGGCTTGGTGGGGGGTCGCAACTACCAGGTGAGAATACTGGCCGAGCCTTACATCTTCACGAAGGACTCGGCCGAGCAGTGCTCCATCCCAGACTTTCTGACGGGTGTCTGTCGCTCCCTGGATACCAAAGCCGTCAACTCCGCCTCCGTCATACTCGACGCTCACATAGGCATTCCTGAATGTGGTAGCGCAAGCACCATAGGAAAACATGTCGCGGGGCGAGATTTCTCCCGCCCGAAACGAGCAAGGTAGACGTCATCATTCAAAACATGGGCGATGGCTGTTGGAACGTGCTCAAAATCATCTACCTCGAGAGGTCTATTTCCTCGAACGCAGCTTTGTCCATGTGCAGCGGGAAACCCTTTGTGCCGCTGTTTCGCCCTGGGCCCCACACTGTGAAGAAGGCCTTCCAATGGGCATTGGCAAGGGTGCGTGGCCATCATGTTGCACGTCGCCGGACTCCTTGAGCAAGTCGTCGTCAAACCTTTGGTCGACGTTCGCCGGAGAATGATGAGCTTGCAGAGGGCATTCACTACATCAACTCCTTTGCTCCCGAGTGCAGCGCTCTCAATGAGCAGACGTACTGGATCTTGACGAATATCAAGCCCGAATCGGGCAGCCCCTTGGCAGGCTGGCCTGAAATGAAAGTCAGGAGCATGTGCCAGAACAAGTCTCGTGGTGTCTCTGGGGCCGTCTCCAAGAATGCGTTTCTGCTCACCGCTTACAGCCTTAACGGCGCCTTCGCGGAGCACATTCTGCCACTGGTGTCCTTCGTCACGGCCGATTACCGCGCAATCAATTCCGGGCCCTCGCGCCCAACGACACGTCCGACGACACAGGTGCTGAACCTCAATCAAGGCGTGCTACCTTCGGACGCTACTTTGGACCCCGAGGCTTTCATCAAACTGGTTGGTCCTCTTTTTGGCGATGCTCGCAAGAAGGACATACTTGCAGTTCTGAAAAGATGCGCTACATTCGTCTTCACGAACTCGGACATGTGTGTCCGTCTGCCCTCCGAACGCTCTGATGCCATAGTCCACCGAATCGCCAAGCGCAATGTTCACAAGGATCTACTGGCTGATAAAGATAAGCCCTTCTACAACACTTTCAAGCAGGGGGTTACAGTCTATGGGGCCGACTACGCGGCTGATGTCGAGCGAGAACAGGCCATGATTGATGAGCGTGCAGAATTCTTGGCCCGGTTCCCCAATGTTAAGAATTATGTCGAGCATTGCAACAACACACTGCAGAAGTGGTTGCAGCCAGTTCGTGTGCTCCCGGACTCGCCTGATTCGCCTCAGCAGATTGCTGAACAAGCGCCAGGCGATCTTCGCCTCTCACGGTATGTTGGCGCCGGACGCAAAGCCAATCGGGTGGACCGTGCCTCGTTCGACATTGCAACCTCATCTGAGAGGAAGGCTCGTAGAATCCGTGGCAAGTCCCCAGTGCCCGAGAGTGCTTTCCTCGGTGTCTCCATCTCCGCTTCGCCAGCGCCACTGCGTCCGGATGAACAGGAGACGTTGGTGCCAGAGGTCGACCCGGACGAAGAGGCCGCCCTTGCCACGCATGGTCACTGAGAGCTACGTAGCACGGTCAAGGTAGTATAAACCCAATTGCCGCCCTTGCAGAGCGATCGGAAAAACTTGGTGTCACTGCAAACTCATGCGCTCTGAACAGTTTGCTGCTGCAATGGCACGTGTGAGCTGCTAGCAGGCATCTGGCCTCTGGTCCTGCTACTTGCGTAGGAAGCCGCCGCACTACCCTCAACCTGTCATCAGCGTTTTGCTCGGAGCTTGCTCACTTCTTCTGGTGTAGAGGCCGGCTTCGGTGCTTTACGTGGTCATGGGAAAGCAGGTCATCAAGAAGAAGCTCTCTTGCCATTACCCGTGCGCGAAGAAGGGCAAAACCCGCTTCCTCTTGAAGACCAACCTCACGAAAAACCCAAGAGGTAGCAAGGCCCAAGTGAAGACATGGAGAGCGACTCCGAGCCCAGTGAATGTGCGCGTGGATCGCCTCAAATGGAAAAGGAACTTGAAGGACTTCATAGGTGTCGACGAGGACACGGCGGTCAAGATCCTCACCAAGGACGGTCTGCTGCCAGACTGGACTCGCGTGAAGTGTCCTTTCTGCAACCTGGGGGCTGTCTCAGGCCTCAAGTCCCGGGGACGGTTAACTCCGCGGTACCGCTGCAGACGCAAGGCCTGCCATAAGTTCATCCTTCCTCAACATCTACATCCAATCTTTACGTCAACCATGGGGCCGGAAGGACACTCACTAGCCTTGCAAGCCAGTGCCCTTCTTCTGCGACTTGCAGGCGTGCCGCTCAGCTCCATTCACATCGTCTTGGGCATCAACCACAAAGCGCTCGAGAAAATGGAGAAGAACCTGGCCACTACAAGGAAGGCTTTTGTAGATGCAGAGCAAGCACGCATGGTGCTCGGGAATGGCAAGGGCGCAAAGTGGACGGAGATAGAAGCAGATGAGGTGGTCTTCGACAAGTGTTTGATCCCGGCAGAGAATGCTGCCAACCCCAACAAGACCATGAAGTGGGACCAATGGTTGGGCATGGTGCCCCGTGGGAAGCCGTCATCTCTTGTCTTGTTCCGGTTGCGTTCCTTGATTACACACAAAAGAGCCCCAGGCCCCGGAGCCGTGCGCAAGGAGGATTGGGTCAAGATTGCCAACCACAAGTGGCTCAAAGATCGCTCGGTCATCCTGCGCACGGACAGTGCTCGGAGCTATCGGACCAAAATCCGTGGGGTACTCCATGATGCTGTTCTTCACCAGAAGAAGAAGGTGCTCCGCGGAGGAAAAATGGTTTGGAAGCCTCCAACCTTCGTTCGTCTTGCAAAACACCAGCTTCCCGACGGACGCCGAATTACCGTGAAGGCTGGCACCCAGGTGATTGACAGGGCTTGGCGTTTCATGAAGGAGCGGGTGAAGATCAATCAGAACCCCAAGACCGGGTCCAACCTGCTGGTCGCGAAGATTAGAGCTGCCCAATATGAGTATTGGCAGCGGGGCAAGGACATGTGGGTCAGCACTGGTACCTTTCTCACTTGGTACATGGACAGCATAACGGCAAAGCACAAGGGGGCCTAGACCAGGAAGCGGGCGCGCCGCGAGGTCAAAAATCTGCATCGGCCTAATGCATCTGCTCCATGTCTGCTCCTATCCGCAGGTTTAAAATTCTGTATCTTCCCTTTGCATCTGCTCTCTGTCTGCTCATTTCCTATGCAAAATTCTTGGAAATTGTGTGACACACGTCCTGGAAAACCGCGAAACGGCCATGGTTCCTGTCAGTGTTACTATTGCTGTTACTCCTTCACAAAAGCCGTCCTGGAAAACCGCGAAACGGCCATGGTCCTTGTCAGTATTACTATTGGTGTTGCTCCTTTACAAAAGCCGTCCTGGAAAACCGCGAAACGGTCATGGTCCTTGTCAGTATTACTATTACTGTTACTCTTTCACAAAAGCCGAGCTGGAAAACCGCGAAACTTTCATGGTCCTTGTCAGTATTACTATTACTGTTACTCCTTCATAAAGCAATGGAATGTTTGTAAATGTGTACTGAACAGGCCCAAAACGGTAGATAACGGGGGGGGGTAGCATACTTTTAGACCCAGCCCCAACCCTGAAACCTAACCACATTAAATCCTTTTAAAAAACCCTCAACCCTCACGAGACGTAGATGGCAAGGCTCAGTTTGGAACCGGGCTCCCCTCGGTGCCTGCCGGCAGTGGTCCAGAGGCTTCTATCTGCTGGTTCTTAGGATATATAGTAAGTATATAGTGTGTAGGGTTTAGGGTTTAGAATTTTGGGTATACATAAAGAATCAAAGGGAAAAGAAAATGATCAATGCAATGCATTACGTTATAAACAGGCAAAATGCAGTGTATATCTGTATATAAGGATCCATTCATAGGGATGTACAGGGATGTATGTGGCTTGAGACCTACTTGGAGGGTTCTTTTGGAGGGTTTAGGCTTAATGCGTCAGGGTGCAATCTGCCCAGTACACCAGGTGTGAATTCAGCTATTTATAACCCACGCATAACCATATTCGGAGACCGAGGGTGCTTATACATGGGGTCTGATACAGGTACATCCTTCGGTTAAGGTTTCCATCAATGTGAAAGGTGATGGATGGTGGCGGGCATCTTCAGGGGCCCCTGCACTTCAGAAGCAACGTCGATTTGCATAAACCACGTTGACCAGGTGTGATATGATGTGATGTTTCGTCAGCTTTGCCGGCGGTACAGGGGTTCAAGGTTGATGCACACATGAAGTTTCTTATGCCCTGACCTGAAGAGTTGCTTTCGCAAAGCTTGGGCTCAAGTCTGATGTTGTGGTTGCTGCAGGGCACATGACAACTAATGCAAGCCTTTCAATCTGCAAATGCATTTGAAGAGCATAAAGTGCAGTCACGAAGTCATCACTACAGTAAGGAGTCGAAGCAGATTGCAGTGTCCAGGGCTCCCTGCCACGCAGCATGGCAAGTGCTGAGTTCCGCATCGGGAGCCAGCCTGCTCTGTACCCATCGCATCCTCTGACTCCGAATTACTTGCGCCGGGATCTCCCAGTAGTAGATGTAAGGAACCTCTGGAAATTGCGGGATGAGGGCAACTGCCCTCTTCCAAACAGCAAGAGTGCCACGTGCTCCAACTTTGCAGTGTCACAGCACTCCACGGAATTTGCTTCCGTGAGCAGCTTCAGGGACACAATCAGGAAGCATACCAGATCACCTTGCAGCCCATCCCAGAAGTACAAGTATGGGTCTGCGACTGCGCACGAGATCGGATGGTTCCTAGAAGAGACCCCGGCGCAGAAAATTGGGCTGCGAAGGCCCAGACATGGTCTGAAAGAGTCTGAGACAACGCGGTACTACAACAACATGAAGGCAACCGGCTCTGAGGCATCCCTTCGCCTGATTCTGCCTTAGGGCCTTAGGGCTCATGTCTCACATGACCTCACATGAGCATCATGAGCGTCTCTCTTGGCCTTGCTGTCGTGGCCGAAGGCCTGACAGTAGCAGTTGACATAGGACTTGACATCTTCTGCACCTCCAGAGGTCAGAGGCATCTGAGACATCGTGACGATCCCAATCATGAACACCAATGCATGCTGTTGATTGCTGTTGCCTCATGCTCTTACCCTGCCTCGCCTCCCAAAGAGGCGGTAGCACCGCATGCCCCGAGCGCAGCCTGGGCCTCGGTGACTTGGGGCACTCTTACTTTCTGCCGTTGTCATGGGCAAACACCACCCCAGGCGCTGGCCAAGCAGAAGTCGGGCATCCCGCCCCTCCGGCTGTCAGCTTGCACCCTTTGTCTGCTACATGGTGGAAGTGGTCTCACTTGGCAGGTCGCTGCCTGGTGGTAGCAGCAGCCTCACCGGCAGCCACAGCCTTTCTGGCGGTGATGCCCTCTTCAATAGCAAGGCAAGCCGGACCCCCGGAAACTGCCGGCAGCGGGATCATTTAATCTGGGTGTTTCCAACAAGGGCATGCGCCTCCTTCATAGCCGCAGATTCCATATATATATATATATCCATTTTATTTTCCATTTTCTTTTCCATTTGATTCTCCATTATAGGGATATAATAACCCCAACATATCTCTGAAACAATCCCTAATTGGAATCAGATTCCCTATTATGACCCTATTGTAGTAGTTACCATTTTCTTTTCCATTATCCCTGGGGTAATATTGGGTACCCTAAACCCTAAACCCTACCTAATTAGGAATCACCACCCTAAGGCTGGAAGGACGGTCATGGCAGCCATCCAAGCTCTGGGCGAAGGTGCTTCCAAGTTAGGGATACAGGGATAATATTAGGGTTATATTGGGATTATATGGGTTCAGGGTTTAGGGTTAGGGTTTAGGGTTTAGGGTTTAGGGGATAATGGGTTATATTAGGGTTATATGGGGTTGTATAGGGGTTGTATGAGGATAATGGAAAAGAAAATGGAAACTACAGGGATTATAGGGGTTATATTAGGGTAATATTAGGGTTATATTGGGATTATATGGGGAATAATGGAAAAGAAAATGGAAACTGCTACAATGATATATGATCAGGGGTGTATAGTTCCATCGGGTTGTAAAAAGCTCTGTCAGTTTGCTTGACTGCAGGCCCTCTGGCTTCGGTGCCGGCTTCGGTGGTGGCAAGGAAAACGCGGGTGGTTCGAAAGGCCGAGGGAAGTTTCCAAAAGATAAAGGGTACATGTAGGGGGACTTCGGAAGTATACACATCGCCCCTCAAAAGCCCCACAACAGCCCATTTACCCCCATGACTGACCTACGTGCTGTTCTACAAAAGCCTGGCGGCAAGGATTCGCAGCCCCAAGCCTGAGCAAATACAGTTGAACACCAGAACCCCAAGCCACAGGGTGATGGGTTGATAATGCTCTTAGAGACTACAGGTTCCAAGCCTGAACTCTACATTCTTTTTCAATCGGCTGTGTACTTAGTCTCTATGCTTACATCTGAGACTCCCACTGTGCGACGCCACGGCCAACCACCTGGAAAGGTTTCAATTTGCCGCCCCTGGGCGGCTCCATGGGTCCCATGGACGGCTGGCGGCCCAAAGTTGTTAAGATGGAAGAGGAAAGTGTGTGTGGGCGGGGGGGCTTTTTGTCAGGGATGGTTGTCGAAGCCTCTGCTTGCTTTCGCGCCTTTCTCCCTAGACAGACACGGACATGGGGTTCCAGCAGCAGGATCTTGTGGATCGGTCACCCTATATAACCCATTATAGTAGTTTCCATTTTGTTTTCCATTATCCCTTTATAACCCCTAGATTAATCCTGATATGATTTAGATCTGGGGGCTCACCGCCTAGAATGGCGTCTTGTCAATGCTAATCCTGAGGCCTTGTAAAACCAGGGAACAAAAATGGGGGTTTCCCAAAATTAGGGGTACCTTATTGGGGGTCCCTATAATAAGGACTATAGTATTTTGGGTCTATATTGGGGTCCCCCTATTTTGGGAAAGTACCAAATCAACATCCTCTGGCCTTGTGCCCAGCCGCATGAAATCGCCAACGGTTTGGATAGAGCCCTTGGCGCTTTAGTGCCCTCTTCCTGACCTGTTTGATTTACTTGGACTCACAAACATTAACCTTTGTCTGATGCTATCGTCGCGTTTTCCTCTGAGGCAGAAAAAGCTCCGGCACCGGCAAGAAGAGTTCCTTGGCCCAACATCGCCTGAGGGCCGGCAGCAGTCAGGGCATCCAGCATTGCAATCACAATGTGGCACCTTGGGATCATTGCTGAACCTCCCCTATTCAACAACATTTTTTTGGGGGCCTGGAAAGTACTGCCCAGATCGTGTTCCTGACAGTCCTTTGCCACTGCACTTCAGGCCCTGGTGCGCGCTACCTGAAGATGGCACGCTACCAGCCAGGCAAGCCCTCGCAGTGCCGCTTAATGCAGATCCCCGAGACCCGAAATGATATCAGGATTAATATAGGGGTTATATAGGGATAATGGAAAACACAAGGGAAACTACTATAATGGGTTATATAGGGTTAGGGTTTAGGAGATTAGGGTTAGTATAGAGGTGTTATCTTGGGATAATGGAGAAGAAAATGGAAGCTACTACATGATATTGATGGATTGCATCTACCCCATGCAATAGGGCTTCATTCAGCAGAGGCCCCCATTAATGGGCATGTTGAGATAGGATAGCCCAAAGTGGATGGATTCGAGGGTCATTGGCACCCATGTCAAATCTGGGTAGAAGTCGAACCATGCTTATTGCCTCCTGAGATCGATTTTGATTTTGCCCTACCCCGAAACCCTAAAACCCTAGACCCTGAACCATATACCCTAGATGACTAACACTCGAGTTCACCGACTAGTAGCATTGCTACATAGACACCAAAATGCTATTATTGGGACCCTAGACCCTAAAGTCTAAACCCTACACAGAGAAAACAGAGGCCCTCTAACACGGTACCGCAAGTTTTGGAAAATCCAGATTTGTCGAAGGAATGCCGCAGCAGATGTCGTCCCTTCCGGCCGTGCGGCCGGCTCTGCCCACTGCGGCCATAGCCCTGGTGTTTAGTGTTTAGGGGTTTAGGATTTAGGATATTTTGGGGTTATATACGGATATATAGGGGTTATATAGGGATAATGGCAAGGAAAGTGACTACTATTTAGGGTCTAGGGTTCAGGGTTTGAGTTTAGGGTTTAGGGTACCTTCTCCATGAAATTCCGTCTAGGCCCAGTCTTTTCTGTTTTTTTTTTTGTTTCTCGGGCATAACCCATGTGATTTCCATGCCTTCCCCATCCTCAAACAATCCTCAATGTACTCCCTGAGTAGAGAATCCGCCCCCCCCATGTATGAAGCTCCTGGAAAGTTCAGGCACTTTTTAGACGAAGCAGGAAGTCACAGCTGGTTGCGAGCCGAAGAACTGATATAAGGCTTCTTTACTAGATCACTCCGACGTTTGCCAATAGAGTTGCCACCACGGCAATGACTCTGAGGGCTCCCTCCACTCTTGCCAATTTTGCCATCTTTCGTGCTAGAACTCTTAAGGGGGCTCAAACGAGGCTGGCATGCCGGGCGTTGCTGGCGTGGCAAGCTGAGCTTGAGGGGTCCAGATCAGGGCGACTCGTAACAAGCACTGTTTGGGTGTACATAGAGGGAGATCCGCATGTAGGGAACCCAGCCTTTGTGGCTACATTTTGTCTGCAGATGAGCAGAAAATTCCAAAAGAGATCAAGGGAGGAGGTTGTGGAGACTGTGTTTGCCTTGTGCTGGGGGCATCTCCTTGGTGTCTGCCTCAGGTTCCAAGTGCAGGTCATGCACGGCCGGATGCCTTGCCAGAGGCCAGATTGTGCAGGTCGAGTCTAGCTGCTTCTACATCAGTTATGTGCGTAGACAATGACAGATCAATCGACAAAGGGCATACATGCACTCCACATGATGAGTTTGAAGAGATTGAAGGTTGGAGGAGGGGCCACCCGACAAAGCTACTTCGGAGCCCACGCGGCCAGTGACACAGCTCCGGTGGGATGTAGCTCTGGATTGCAAGGTGTCCGTGTGGATGATGGAGAGAGTCTAGTGTGCTTGTTGCAGTGAGCCCGATCATCTTGCAGACATGGTCCAGCTCGTGGAGTTCATGTGTGCATTTTTCAAACCTGTCAAAGGCCAGAATGCTCGGCTGAGGCACGCGGGAGAGATCGACATTTTGTAGAGACACCTTTATGACTTTTGTATGCATCTTGTCTTGCTGTTCTGACTTGTGCCTTCATCTCACCCTGTTGTCCAAGATAGGATGCACCCACGCCTTCAGCTTTGCAGGTACCATCTTCTGTTGCACCACGCTGGTCAGGATAGCGTGAGCGGTGACACTGTAGGCGTACACCGCGAATTTGCCACGTTTCTGTCATGCTTCCTTGGACGGCCGTAAATACCTTCATAGCAACCGCTGTCCACAAGGCACACCGGTAAGTCAACTATTGCTCTTATCACAAAAATAAGTACTATCATTACTATACTTTTAATATTGTTATTACTTGTATTACCACTACAATCATTGTCATTACTTTTCAGCATTTCTGGAACCCAGTTCACCCTCAAGGCCTAGGAGAATGCTCGACTGTCCGAACACGATTTTTGGATAGGTTTTCCGCGTGCACTGGCTGCCCGCGCCCGAATTGGGTGATGAGATTTCACGGGCCATGCCTCAGTTTCCTCTGCAGTTCTTGGCGACTCCGCAACGTGGCAACTTTTGAGTTGAACAGTGACGAAGGTTGCAGAGCCGTAGCTTCAAGCGCCCAGTTATACGTGTTCTTACACGGCGGAGGTTCTGTTGGTTCCAATTCCTCTGTGGTTTCGGGTAGATCTTAAGTTTCCCGAATCAAGAAGTGTAGCATTTCGATGAGCTGGCCAAAGATCAGTCGATGATGGTTGACTCCGCCGCTGTTCAACGTGAAAGGGCCGTGCCGGGCTAGCAGTAGTTTCACCGTGTATGCGTGATTTCTGTGGTTCACGTGATTAGGGTGTTTCTTGACAGACTTTTGCTTTGAGCCATTTGTAACACCTTAATCACGGAATGCGGAGACAGTTTCACTTAGCTTATAGCTACTGCATGGCTTATGAAAAGCTCGGGTAACGGAGGGTCTATCTGTGCTTAGCTGACGGCTGTGCGTTGTCAACATTCAATAGCTTGCAACAAGATTTCCATGTTGAATTTTGCATTCGGCATGCACAGCTCCATGAGCTTGCAGACGCAGAGTTGAGCAGGTGAGAACTCCACATGCTCGTGATCTGTGGCTAGAGAAAACAAGCTTGCGGCTCGTTGTTGCTGTTTGCCGCTGTCTGTCGCTCATTGCCTGGGCCCCACAATCTTGTAAAGGGGCTCCAGTAACACAATAAAGAACGTCCATAAACCGAGTTTCCATTTCATTCTCCATTTTCTTATACATTGTTTGGGAAATGTCACCAAACGCTATATTATTCCTTTGCAACCCTGCATAACCCTGTAGACACCCTTACAGGTTCCATTCTCTTTTGCATTGTTTGGGAATTGTCACTAAACCCTATATTGTCCCTTCACAGCCTTACACAACGCTTTTAGCCACCCCCCCCGCCCCCTTTAGTTTCGTTCCTATTTTTTTTTCCATGGGTGGCCTGCAGGAAACTTGCAGCCCGGCCTACAGCCTCTGACGGGTCCCATGGATCCGATCACTGTTCCCAACAAGGCACAGGGACTGGGTGGTGGGTTCAAGGGCATAGGTGCTATATCGGGATTACATAGGGATGATGTAGGGGTAATATAAGGATTATGAAAATAAAGGGGATGTATGGGGATTCAGGGATTGGCAGTTGCTCAGTCTTTGCCTGCATGCAGCAAGGAGTAGAAGTAGAAGTAGAAGTAGAAGTAGTAGCAGTAGTAGTAGTCGTTGTCGTGGTGGTGGTAGCAGTAGTAGTAGTGGTAGTAGTGGTAGTAGTAGTAGTAGTAGTAGCAGCAGCAGCAGCAGCAGTAGTAGCAGTAGCAGTACTGCAGTAGTAGTAGATGAGCAGTAGGAGTAGTAGGAGTTGTAGTAGTCGTGGTAGTGGTGGTGGTGATGGTGGTGGTGGTGGTAGTAGCAGCAGCAGTACAGTTCCCAACAAGGCGCACGGTTCGGGTTTATGTGTCTGATATTGTCCCAATAAATCATGGAGAATCCAACGGAAAAGACAATGACAACTGACATGGCAATCGGATAATTATCTGGGACTGGCAGATGCAGCAGCTGCATGCAGCTGCCAAGGCCTTTCTTCGAGTAGTAATATTCAAGAAAGGTTGGACAGGGTTTCCTTTCTGTTCTTCTTGCTGTCATTGCTGGAACATCTTCATGTGCTGGCTAGGACGTCTTCGGAAAGAAGGTTGATCCGACAAGGACTTCAGATATCATCGGGCCCTGGCTTGGAGTACAAGAGATGCAGTGCGTCCCGGACCATGGACATATCTGGATATACTGAACATAAGGAAACCTAGCCTGGCTAAGCAGCAGACACAGGTCGGCTAGACCGTTGCATGGTGTGTCCCAGCATGTGAATGGTGATGTGACTTCCGTTCATTATCCTTCTCTGCCGCATGTCATGTGGAAAAAAAGTGCATCAGTCATTCCACTGGAGAGAGTGAATCGTCTATAGTCGTCATGATGCTGCCTTCCAGGAACCAGTCCGCCAGCTTCATGGGGGCGGATGGCTTTTGTGTACCAAAGAGGCCTGGCTCTGAATCTGCACAAGCTACATGTAGATGGCAATTCAGCCGAGAGAGCGCATCTGAACAGCCTGGCAGTGACGACATCACCGTGCGAAGTGGCAGTCGCATCACACAGGGCAACCTGGAGTTGGGAGAGGCTCCGGACCGGGGAAATGGTGAACATCTTTGACACCTTGCTGTACCTCGATGTCTTGTTGGGAGATGCTTGGTGCTGATAGCAGGTCTGACTGACCTTGGCTGCTGCAAGATGCTGCTATCTGTGCCAGGGTGGCCTTGGAGCTCGCGAGCCCACGCCGGAACGGCGTTCGGTTCCGGGCCAGGCGCCGCGTTGGGAGGGGTCCTGTTATGACATTGGGCAGGCTTTCCGATCCTTTGCGGTCCAAGGCAGTTTGAACAAAACGCGCTGGGGGCTATGGACTGCTGTTGGCAGGTGCTACGCGGTGGGCTTCGACCGAAGGAGCGCAGTGAGAAACCATTGATTTGGTTGCCTCCTTGTCCCATCTCACTCCTGGTGACGTGAGGATCATTTGAGCGGAAGCGCCTGCGTAACTGCAGCCACTTGGACCAGCATCCGGCAACATCCGCAAATCCGCTCCGCTCGGTGAGAAGGGCTTCTTTTGCTTTGCTTCAGGACAGGCAGGACCATCCGCTGGCTCTGCCCCGCAAGGTGCCGGGAGATCCTAAGGACTACTGAAAGGACTAAACCCCTAAACCCTAAACCCTAAACCCTCTACATAACTCCCTTTAAGGAGTTTAGACTATAACCTGCAGATCCCAGGTCTTGAGTTACCAAACTTGCCTGCTAGGCCGGTTCTGCCGGACCTGGCACTGGCTCTGGAGGCTCTGTGCACATCATCGCCGGGTGAAGGCCTCAGAGGGAGGAGGCCTCCAAAGAGGGGGCAGCCTTTCGGAGATAGCCATGCTGTGTGGATCTGCGCTTGAGGCCGACGGGCTTCGTACCAGCGGGACAAGGCTACGACGTCGACTTCGAGGCGTCACTGTCACGGAAGAGTCGCGCAAGTCAAGAAAGCTAGCTAGTTTGCAGTTTGCGAGAGTCGTTTGCAGATACTCTTGGTGAAGCCCATCATGAGTCTAACTTTTTCAAGTGGGTGCGGGGTTGTGCAATCTAGAACTTCTCCACCCCCAAAAAAAGTAGCCGCCCTTCATGGCCCCCACGTTGATCTATTAGCCTCACCTATCATCCATCCGGTAGCAAGCGAATGTCTGCAGGCCGCTCTTCCAGCTTCCACACAGAAGCCCTCTTCTGGCTACAAGCCTGTTTGGGGATGAACTGGGGTTAGCTGCCTTGATATATCATGATGAATACTGCGACCCACAGTTTCAGATAAGGAGAGGTTGCAAGTCCTGGGTTCAGCTTTGGAAGCAACTCATGACTGCATGTCCAAGACCCTTCCAGTGGCCAGCGCCCTTGGCAGCTTCAGAAGCATCCTGTCTCGACTGAATTGGCTCTGGCTGCTCGACAAAAAGCTGCTCGAGGAATTTGCGGGGAGCCAGTCATGCCATGCTGTACTCTGCTTTCCATGGCTGAAGAAGATGGCTCGCCTCTCCATATGCTTTGACTAAGTTGTGAGATGGTCCATGCCAGACTTCTGTTTGCAACTTTGACGGAGCCTGCGGTGCAATGTGTCAACAGGGATGTTTTCAGAATGCTGCGTCTAAATCTCCAACACGGCACGCAGAGGAGAGTCTTCAGCAGACCGCCTTTGGCAGCTACTTGCTCAGCCGATCAATGCCCATCATTTCTACTCACGTGCACGTTGACGCGTGCCTCACTGAGACGTGGGGCGCTGCTTTGCCTGGAGGTGTTGAATCCAGGTTTTGATGATTTCTCGTTGATTGCAGCTGCACATCGCTCGAAAATGAGTAGCTGATTTCGGGCAATGGGCTGGCTGGCGGAGGTGCGCTAGTCTGTCCGCTGTGCATGGTAGATAATGCCTCGTATCTGCTCAGTCTCTGCTGCCGCAGTGGCACGGCCACGCGTCCGGTTGCTTGCGAAAAGCTTCTGCAGCTTTCAATACTTTTTTGTTTGATAGCACACTCGTGTGGGTTGGAACATTGAGCATTCGGGCGCGCACCGCAGCTCGATTGCTCAAACCGCCTTTCTTGTGCCCCTTCTTCTTGTCCTAGGACCGCCTGCGCTATGGCGGCTTCCGACAGCGCTGCTTCAGCGGCTTCCGCCTTGCGCCGCTTTGCGGCCGAAGGCGAGGACTTTTGCAAGCTGGCGTTCAGCCAGCTGGGGCGTCGTCACCAACGGACGCTCAAGCGGGCGTGCATCCACACAGAGACCCCGCCAGCGTCAGGTCACGAGGGCGGTTCGGGCCTCGCTGGGGCGAGCACTACGAGCACTTCCTTCCGCCTGGACCCGGCGGACAACTCCACAAACCAGGTTACCGCCTCTGACGGGGCGAACATCAACAACCTGGACGTGGTCTCGGTCACCAACCCGCTGATTTGGACGGCTGCTTCGCCCACAGCGAGCTTGGGCACCCAAGATCCCATTTGGCGGCCTTCCACGGGCGGCCTTACATCCTTGGACGCCTATCTGATGTCCACGAACCTGGTGACACCGCCCAGGTTGTGGGCGACAACTGAGGGTGCTGGCGGCACTATGTCCTCCACACCGCCTACGGCTCGACCCGGTTCTACGCCCACAGCGGCGTCCCGCGCGCAGAGCCCGAACCACAAGCAGCGCCCACTCCGGGCGCGTTGCAAAAGCGCCTCCCTTGCCGGGCGACCAGGGTGCTTTGGCACCGCCCCAAGGGCCTGGCACTCCGCCAGCCCTTGGGCGAGTTGACCATTGAACCCACCGCCTCCATAGGGGCGCAGACCAACAGGCTGGCCGGATTACTACCCGTTCACCAACGCCTTGAGGCGGAGGCGGCGCAGCTCGGCATGAGGTATGACCAGTACCGCCGCCACAGCCCCTCAGTCCTCACAGGCGGCGCCTGATACTGGGCGCTCCAAGACCAGTTCGCTGGAGAAGGGGCGCCGGACGCCGCTCTCGAGGCGTCACGCCTCCTCCTGCAGTGCGCCCCCTGGGCCCGCACAAGCGCCCAGACACCCGCCTCTCGGTGTAGGGCGCTGCTTGCCCCATTATGGCAGGGACGGAGTACCCACACTCCCCCCACCGCCGCTGCCGAGATTGCGGCATCAGAATCCGCAACAAGCAAGCCGCCTTGGCTCGGGCGGCCGCCGCCCACATGGGCGCAGCCTCCTTTCCGCCTGCCACGCGCAGGAACGACGATGAGCCGGAGCACGCTGGCGGACCAGCTCCCTGAGCGACTGGCGCTCACTACACTGGGCGATTTAAGTCTGCCTACTGCCTGGGCCGGCCATGGTGGCCCGTTTTGTAGGACTCGCCTTTCGGGCGTTGGCCCTCACCGCCCCAACAATCAGCTAGAAAAAGGCACGGGAGTGCGCGCTCACTGGGCGAGATGCATCGAGGAGGACTTGGTAATCAGCGCTGGTCGGTGGAACCACCTAGCCCGAAGGGGGAGGACGAGGCGTAATCAGTGGAGGTCTTGGGCTGCCTGCTTGTGCACCCCACTGCCTCGTAGGCGGTTTTTCGATTTGGAGGGGTGCGTTTGAAATCGGACTCCCACCACTCATAAACCCGCGTAGGGCACCTGCAAGGGCCCACCCCAGAAGCGGGCCCGCCTTGAGGCGGCCAGGGCGGCAGGTGCAGCTCAGTTAACCCGCTAGCCCGCTCTTCCCGAACGGGGAGGCGGGGTGGCCATCAGCAAAGAGTGGATCCTCATGCTCAAAGAGTCCTGGAGGCCGCGGGCGCGGAAACCCACCTGGTCACAGCCGAGGCCACCCATAAGCCATCTCGGCCTTCAACTCCACAACAGCGCCACTGCTGCGGCACAGGCCAGCATGGCCGCGGCGCCGCCTCTTCGACACACAGTCCGCCAGGTGGCCGGCGCCAACCCCAGACCGCAACTTTGGGAGTGGCAAGCACCGCCTGCCAAGAAGACCTCGAGGTCGAGAAAAGAACACCGGAAATCAAGGCGGACTATTGGACAAGACCCAGGTCTGCTCTACTTCCTGGATGCGCTGGGCTACCCTGACACCGCCGGATTCGATGTGCTGGGGCGCATCCGACCCAGACCTGACAGACAGGATGGGCGATACCAGACGCCCGCCTCCCTGCACACGCTCAGAGCTGGCGTACCTGCGCCACAAGCTTTCCGCGCCCCAGGAAGACGAGACGGGCAGCGTCAAGCTGGCCATGACTTGCTCAACGCGTACCGCCAGTGGCCTGTCAAGGAGCCGGCCCACTGCGGCACCTTCTTGCGCGCCGCCTCTGGGCCTACTCTCTGGTTCCACTTCGCCATGTGCGGCCTCAGTTTGGAACTTTAACGGCGGGTGACGCCCTTCAGTTCCAGAGCCCTCCTCTTCATCGTCGGCGGCCACTACGTGGACGACTTCACCCAACTCCGCCTTCTACGGCTTCGCCGACTTCTTCAAGGCGATGGGCCTCCGAAGCAAGCCATCCGAGCCCCAGCAACCTTGGTGGACACATGTCATACAGGGCGTGCAGGCGTCCTTCTCGGACCGGGGCGTCACTCTGCAACCCACGGCCAGACGCCTCAAACCGCCCACAGGTTGGCGGGGAAGCTGAACTTCGTCAACCAGTCCATCTTCGGTAAGGTCGGCAGGGCGGCACTATCGCCTATCTATGCCAGGGCTAGCGCCCACTCAGGCGACCAGGCAGAGCTCACACCCGGCATTCGGGCGGCCCTGCTCGCCACTCAGGCGCTACTGGAACAGGTGCCGCCGAGATGCGCACCATTCACAGCGCCAAGGGCGGTCAACTGCGTCATTTACGCAGACGCCTTCTTCCTCGAGGGCGAGCTGCGACACGACACGAGGCTGGATGGGTGCTGACCAATGCACCCATGACCAAGTCCCAACAGGCGTCTAACGGTTGGGGCTACGTCGCGTCGTCCGCATTGGTGAGACGGTCTGGTATGACTCCGGTTCAATTCGTCCGGAAGTTTGACACCCGTCGAGCTTACGTTTACATGCTGGAGGTCCTGGCCCGGATCCTGGCGGTGGTTACCCTGTCCGGCCTCTTGGGCGAAGACTGGGTGGCGTTCATCGACAACGCCGCCGGCGAGTGGGCCTTGAACAAAGGCTATGGCCGTGACAAGGCCGTTAACGGCCTCCTCTCCGCCTTTTGGTCATTGGCGGCGTCGCGCTCCTGGAGGCCTACCTTTTATAGGATCACCTCTGAGGCGAACATCGCTGACCCTATCTCAAGGGCGGACTGCGCCCTGGCAGTGCGCCGCAACTGGTCGCAGGCAGACACGAAGCTCGACCAAATCTTGGAAATCCTGGCCTGGGCCGCCGACGACCTCGAGATGCGGTCCACAGGGCGGCGTCTGACTTGAGTGCCCTTTAATTTTCCTTTTCCGGTGCCGGCGCGATGCGGGGAAGGGGCGCCGGACGGGGAGCAGATTGCTGCGTCGGATCACCAGAGTGAGGACTGTCGCGCACGAACTGCTAGAGTACTTGTGCTGCAAACGCGCAACGATTCCACTAAGGCATTGCTTGGAGTGGCAACATCGCATTCAGCTGCTTGACCTCCGTAGCACGTCATGAGCCTCCCTCCCTTGAATGCCTACAGATCCGTCATTGCCAAGTCGATTAATACTACCTGGTGGTGCATCATGACATGTACTGCAGAACGGAGACTTACCTGGTGAG